CGGAGATGGATAGAAGTGATAGTTGCACAATAATGTGAACATACTTAATGCCAATGAAGTGTGCACTTAAAATGGTAAAAATATTGTATATTTTAAAATAAAAAAAAATTTTTTTTGAAAGTATGGGCTCTAAAGGATGCATTCCAAATTTGTGAGAGTGGGTGGGGTGCACAACGGAACTAGAGAGAATGAGGGGCTTCAGTTCAAACTCTCATGTCCTATTTCTTTTTTTTTTTTTTTCTATTGGGGAACAGTGTGTGTTTCCAGGAACCATCAGCTCCAAGTCAAGTAGTTGTCTTCAATCTATATGGAGGGCGCAGCTCCGCGGCCCATGTGGGAATCGAACCAGCAACCTTGGTGTTATGAACCTGTGCTCTAACCACCTGAGCTAACCGGCTTCCCTCTTATTTCTTTTATGTGAAAGAAGCTGAAGCAAAAATGACACAATGCTACTAGCATTTGTCAATTCTGTTTGTTATGTGATTCTCTGAATTTTTCTTATTTTTAAAGAAATTTTTCAAACTGAAAGTAAAACTATAATAATATAAAAATTAATAATATAATAAAGTAAAAAAATACATTTTTTTTTAGAAAGATTTCTCTGAAGTGGAACTTCCCTGAAGTGGCAGGATTTGTTCCCCCATCCCTCACTCCCAAGACCACGTGCAGTACAAGGGGTTGGATGTGGGAGACTGGAGAACTGGCCGTATGGAGGCTGCACCTGTGCCAGGTGCCATGCCAGCCTCGCTGAGCCTGGCAGAACGAGTCAGGAGGGGAGCTGGCAGGGGCAGGATGCTCTTTCCCTTGACCCAGGGCAGGTGAGGCAAAGGTTGGTGGAGGAAGGTGACTCTGAGAACCAATCTCCTCCTCCAGCATCCACTGTACAAGACCCAGAAAGCAGAGAAAAACAGAAACTACCATCAAAACTCAGGAATGTGTATTATTAGCAGTTGGAGCAGGCAGTAGAAAGAGTTCTTCGAATCTGCCGATGACAAAATATATTGCCCAATCTTTCCGGTTATTTTTTTGTTTTTTCTCTGACCTCTCTGCATATCTCTGGAGCTCCCCCAGCTATGGCTGTCTGCGTTGCAAAATACATATTTACAGGCCCTCTAAGCCCAGCTAAATATAGGCTTTCTTTTAAAGCAACTGATGATTTGGAGAAATCTTTCCNTGTTCAGCATCTTAGCTGTGGAGGGCAGTGTCACTGACCCTCATATGTGGGATCCGAACCGGGGCCCTCTGGTGTCCCAAGCCAGTTCTTAACCATCGCGCCACTCGGCCAGCCCCTGATATGCATTCTTTAATCTACACAGCTTTGCCCAAGCTGTGCCCTCTGCCTGGAATTCCCCTCTTGCCTTTGTCCATCAGGCAAACTTTCACTTATCTTTCAAGACTCAGCATAGGCATCCTCACCTCCCTGGAGCCGTTCTGTTCTTCCCTAGACCAAGCTGGGGGAGGGGGCGGCCCAGCCCCTGTGACAGCCCAACCACACAGCTTTTGGGGTGGACTAGGATCTTATTATCTTTGGATCCCATAACCTTGCCCAGGGCCTGGCAATTAGTAGGTGTAGAGGGCTAGGTGACAGCTTCCTCAACAGCCCTCATCCCCAGATCAAGCACCCACAACGTGTACCCCACGTATGAGAAGAGAGAAAGGTCTGGACAAGACCAGCCAGGAAGAGACAGGGGAGTTGGGGGGCACAGGTTTGGAGGCCTGCGGGCCTGGACATGACCCCACCTTGACCACTTACTGGAGATGTGGCCTTGAAAAAGTCAATTGCTCTCTTTAGGTTCTGTTTCCATTACAAACTGGCAAGAATAGTGCTCACCTCCTGGTGTCCTTGTGTGGAATCCACAAAATCATGAATTCAGTATATGTTAACGGCGGACCTACAATGTCACAGGCACTGATGATGTAGAGGTGAGCAGACTCTTGCCAGCTTGGGACTTGCATGCTGGTGGGTAATGATAGCTAGCCCCTGCTTGCTACATGCTGAAGGTTTGACATATATTTACACAGAGTTACTCATTCCATCCCACTGCAGGTCCATGAGGCAAGTATTACTATTGTCCCCATTTCACAGACAAGAAAACTGAGGCACAAAAGATGTATAACTTCCCCCAAGGCCACACTGCTGACCAGCCGAATGCATATAAAGCACTCAGCCCAGTTCTGGCTCAACCCATGACACCATTTCCCCTTCTTTCCTGTATCTGCCAAAGGGTCTTCGTCCAGGTACGTAGTGGAACTTCTCTCTGGGGACTTCCCACTTAGAGCCAGCTGAGGGGCACACTCCTAAGATGCTCTGAGAAGGAGACAGGAGCTCAGATGCTCTGAGAAGGAGGCACCAAACTTCTTGGTAGCGAGGCTACATGTAAACGAACGAGTGCTGCCAGACGGGTTCAAAACCTGTCTCCCAACAGTGGACAGCTTTGGAGCCCGTCCTCCACCTTTCTAGTATTTCCTTTTCCGGTAACCAGGAACGTTTGTCGCGCCCACTCAGGGCGGCCCGATGAGGCAGCCATGTCTCTAAAAACACTGAAACTGTGCCGAAACCGAACAACGTCCCTGACAACAAACCGAAAAAGTAACTCTCCCATCTCAGCAAACCTTAAAATCCTGTCACTAACACCTGTGTGAGCATCTCTCCTGGCCTTGAGACAAAGGGCATTGCCACCTCACCCCCATAACCAAAACGCCCCAGGCAAGGACATCTGGGACCTGCCCTGGGTCAGGCCTGAAGGGGTGGGTGTTGGCCTGTAGATTGGGGTGCCTGAGGAGCAGGTTACTTAGTCCTTGTCCCTTCCTGTCTCTCACCACCTGACATTCCCACCTGTCCCTGGAGAGCCAACATATCCTAGAGTCAGCGTCCACTCAGGCTCTTAGGCAGGATGGTGTTTGTCCCAGAGTCACCTTGGCACCTCTCTGCCTTCTCAGAGATGGAAGGCAAGAGGGAGAGTCAGAGGGCTATGGGGGAGTAGGCAGAGGTGCCATAGCCTGGCCAGCTGCCCAGGCCTCAGCCCCTCAGCAGCTCCATGTGACTCCCTCCCTCACCCCTGCTGCTTCCCATGCTATTTTTGGAGCCACCCACTCATACCCTCAGCTGTCTTAAGGTGGCAGTGCCCGAACCCAGTGCCACCAAGCGCACAGAAGCCAGCCTTTCTTACTGATTTTTCTCCCCTTCCCCAAAAGCAGGGGAACCAGAGGCTGTGCCAGGAGCCAGCTAGAAGTCCCCCGAAAGTCTCCTCTGGCCCATCAGGAGAATTGCCCACCTCAGAGCTCTCTGGATCATAACCTACTGCTGTAACCTCAGCACCTTACCTACAGACCTGGAGGTAGGGAGGAGGGTCACAATGTCTTTAAATGGATTTTAGAAAAACTTAAATAAAACAAAAGTATACGGAATAATATAACAAGGCCCCATATATCTATCACCCAGCTTCAACGATCATTAGCTCATGGCCAATCTCCTTTCATCTATACCCCTCAATTTTCCCCTCCTATTTCATTGC